TAACCATTTACAATCGGATTGACTAACGAATATGCTCCCGTTTGTTCCACTGCAACTTTTATCTCGTTGAACACTTCCTTCCAGTTCTCGTTCAGGAATATGTTCATTTCAGGACCTAGATTTGGGTCACCACCGAATAGATTATCAAATTGGTATATAACTCGTTCAATCATGGGGATAACTATTTTTGTGTCTTCTGGGTTGTTGTCGACGTAGTAATACTTTTTACCTTTGCGTTCTTCGATTTTTAGTTTGGCTTTGTAGTCAAGATCAAAATTTTCTACAAATATACAAAATAACATTTAAGAAAATAATTTCTATCGATATTTATTTTTTACTTTGTGTAATACGCATGGTTCCTTCTCCTTCAATCGGCAGGATGAGAATTTTTCCATTCATTTGGTACTTGCCATTGTAAATCATTTCATCTGAATGAAGCAACATGCGGATTTCTGTATCATCAATGCTCATTTCTTTGATTGCTGATTTTTCTAAGCCAGTGAAAACAACGTCTTTTAAAGAAACTTTCAAATCAGCAGTGGCTTGAAGATCAATTTTGGGAACATGAATAGCACGAAAGTTTTGAACTTTAAATGCTGGTTCATCTGATGTTAAAGAAAATAAAATCAATGTTAAAATTTTATATTACATCTTTTGTTTCAGATTTAAATACCATGATCAGTTAAGTAAGTAAGAACATCTTTGAAATTCTGCATCAAACATGCTGAGAGACCATTTTTCTTTGAGCACACCTTGATATAGTCCGCTAAAATATATTTTTTATGCGTTTTTTACCAAACGTTTTTTTAATATTTAAATTACTTACGAACTTTGCAAAATGCATTATTCACAATTATAGCAAAGCAGACCAGAGTAATCCAATACATACGTGTACTCGTATTGCACTTCATTTTAAAAATATGTTATATACTTTCAAATGACCGCTGATATTTATACCGTTCGCTTACGCATGACTTTGTTGCATTTTATCTTGTTTAAGTGGTCCAAAACACGGAAAATTACATAAATGCATGCAAATAATTGCAGAAATGACAGAAATTTTTCATTCTTAAGTTTAGAGTGCATCTTACTAGTTCACCTTCAGAAGTTAAACGCGGTTGCATGTTGAAATTATTTGACAATAGTTAAATTATTATAGTATGGCATATCTGCTAATTAGAACTCATTAGACTTTGTATGAGAACCCATATTTTAGATTTTAAGTGAATAAAAAGGTATAGGTTTTAATTATTTGCCAATTTATAATGGTTGGTGGTTAATTAGACACGCAAAGGTTATTTTAAATTGTTTACGTTTTAAGAAATTGATACTTCAATTTAGAAGATAGTAAAGTGCAAAGGGGAAATTTCAATAGCAAATATCTTGTAAACTAAAAGCTATAGAGGGTAACGGTTTGAAAATTCTGAATCCTCGTGAAATTCTTTATAAGAAAAGAGATTCAAAGATATATGATTATGCAAAGATAACCTATTTTGGGCAGTTTTTACAAATTTTTTCATGATAATTTAGAAAACACTCTGTATCTTCTATGCCCTTAAAGCAATTTAGCGTTTCTTTACGTCATATTGTAGAATAGAAGACCCTTTATAATATCTATTTAACCACAATCCTGAAAACTCTTAAATACTGCCCTAAAATGCTCATTAATTGTTGCAATTTTGCATAAATTTCCGGAATTTCCTTGAAAAACACGCTATATTTGCTAAACCCATATGAAAATTTAGGGTTTTTCATTGTCATAATTTAGTTTAAAAGGCCCTTTACAATATGCATAGGGTTTGCAGCCTTTAAACCTTCAGGAAACTCTCTAAAATGCCCTTCAATAATAAGTGTACGTTAAATTATTAATTTTATTTTAATTTACTAGTTGAAATAAAGCACCGAGTTTGTAAAAATCGTTTATTTTGGTAAATAAACAACATTAACCTAATTCTTTAAAATAATTTTCGGTCGAACAACAGGGTCGAACTAATTTGTAAAAAATATTTTGGCTCGAAGAACA